TCGCAGCAACCTGGATGGAACTAGAGTCAATAATACTGAGTGACCTCTCATAGAAACAAAATCTGAGTATCACATGTTCTCACTCATATAGAGGACCTTGAACATCCATCATAATACTATAAAAAAAGGACTGACAGTGGTGAGAAACTACTGGGGGGGAGGAAAAGGGAGGTAGGATTAACGGTAGTCAATATCTGTCTGGGGATGAGGAGACACCCCTTATCAACAAGGGTGCCTGAACGAAGCATATTTGTATAACTCTTAACTGTACCCCACAATATCAAAATAAAAAATATTAATATAATAAAAAAAAGGGACTTGTATGCTGACATTGAGAAAAGCCTTTTGTAACTTCTCTTTAGGGTTTTAGAAAGCAGGGCAGATTTATAGGCAGACAGAGACATGGATGTTTTTCTTTTGGAGAGGGAAGGAGTCCTGGGAAATTCAAGAAAATCATTCCAGCAGAAGAGTTTCCTTGGCGTAAATATAAAGTCATCCTTGGGTCAGACAGTTAGTCTGGGGAACTGCAAAGAGAACAGGGAACAAAAAACCCAGAGTTCTTCTGGAGTACAGCTATTTTGGGGATGGGGTGGGTGGGAAGGAATAAAAATACCCAAAGAAAGAAGACACACAGAGAAGGAGAGATGGATATGGGGATGAGAGGTAGGGAAGGAGAGAGAGAGCCAGGGGCAGAAAGATCAACCATTTATTAAGTGCCTACTATGTGTTAACCAATTTCTATATTTCTTGCATTTCATTCTAACAAAATCTCTATGAGAAGGGAGCTATTATCTTCCCATTGTATGGGCAAGGAAGCTGGGGTTCAGAGAGGTCCCCGTCAGAATGTGACTGAGCTGAGAATGGATTGTGTCTGTGATCCCAGGGCCCTATCATTGTCACAGTGCTGAATCAAATTGTCCCCATTTCATAGAGGAAAATCTGTTCCTAGAAGGAGAGTGCCGGCTGACTTTCAGATGTGGGACAGATAACAATGACATGTGCTTAGAGCTATGTGAGTCTTTATGAACATGGAACTCTTTGAAAGATCAAAACTCAAACACTGCCCAGCAGCTCCCCCCCCCAAAAAACCTATGAATTTAACAATGTAATCAGATTCCCATGGCACAAAACAGAAAATAAGTGAAAAAATCAGAGTGATTAGAGGCAGCAGGAGAAGCTGACTTCATATGAATGTTAAAAAGCCAGGTTTATGGGGAGAATATCAAATATATTTTTGCAGTACAGGTGAGAAGGCTGAGGATGACGAGCCAAGGAGAG